TCATGTTTCCCCTCATGAGGCGTTTTTCTAGAAAACCGTAGTATGCATTACTGTAACTGAAGCCGAGTCAATGCGAGGGGACGTTTTGTTTTATTTTAGCAGCTGTCTGGATTTAGGCAAATTTCCATTAATTAGCTTCAAAGTGAAAACTAAATTTGTTCATAAATAAATTAAGCGGCTCATGATATGAATAAGTGATCCTTGGCAAAGCATAATTGCATAGAAAGAGGCAGCAATAAGCCCGGCCGTAATCTCCCCACCACCACACCGCAGGACGCGGCGCCATCTTTGTCCAAGCGTCATCAGACCCTTCGTGGATTTAGAGGCTCTCTTATAGATTTATCAGTTTCGGGGATGTGGACATTAAGCTATATCTAACACTTGGGTGGATTTCCACATCAAAAAGCAACTTCTACATTTTAGAAGAAGCCGGGGATAAGGATTGCGCCACGTCGTTGCAGCAAAAAGGGCTGAAGAATACAGTAAAGCTGCAATATTCAATGGAATACGTTATTTTTTTAAAGAATACGTAATCTTAAAAAAACTGGTTTCTCTCATTTACTCCTTTCTGATCTCTTAAATAGATCATGAAAAGTGTTATATCTGTCCGGTACGTGCAGAAACACAATGCCTGTTGATCCTTCCAGAAATCTAATAAGCTGGCAACTTCCTGTGCTCTCTGTCTGTGTTGACTGCTATAGGTTACATTGTTTCCAACTATCTCTATGGACTATAAACCTATTATGGAGAAGAGGGGGATGTGTTCTCTAGTCCTGTGTTGGGGTGACACTGCTTTCCATCCATAGATACAGTGCAGTGAATGAGCGTGGTCACACTAGGAGGCATTTTGCTGGCAGGATCACAGGTTAAATTAAAGGGGAAATCCATAATGCTGAAGAAGTATAAAGCTTATGGGTTGGGGGGATGGGGGCTCTTTGACCTTTTTGACATGGGAGCTAAAGGACCTTATCCCGGCACTGCTCCTATACAGTCCTTGGAGTGGCTATTAATCCCACAAGAACAGCATCCTTCTCTGCTGAAACCCTCAGCGCTGATTGAAGTGTTCACATTATCTCATCAACATTCCCAATACTGCTACAGACAGTACTGATGGTCTCAAACATTGGGCAGAGACATGAGACAACAGTCAAGCAATCCAGCCAAACACAGCGTATCTACGCCAACAGCAGACAACCCCTCCGGCTGAATGCGTTTGCCGCACATTTCCTCTCACTGAGAGTAGATGGTAAACTTGGTGCCAGATTGACGACTCCTCACTAAAACTCGCCGGCGGCAAACTTAAAGATAAACTGTTGCAATTAATTAGCAGTATTCTGTCTATGAGGATGACAAGTCATTGCCACCAATACTTCATTTACGATAGTCGCTGGAAACTGTCACAAGAAATTCTCCACATGTTGTCTGGACGCATAATATGTAATCAATCTTACTACTTAATGGTGCGTGTTTGGGGAGTGGGTACAAAACAACAATGCAGAGATAATTCATGAATTCCACGAGAGCTTAAGGTGTTTAACTAAAATCATTCGGAACTGTAACATAATAGAAATACAAAATTCCATCAATGGGAAAAAGGATTTTTACACACCGACACTTAAGGGTCCCATAATAATAATACCATGCTAGCACTTGGAGGCCCCAGAATGACACACTGACACTTGGAGGCCCCAGAATGACACACTGACACTTGGGAGTCCCAAAACAATGACAGACTGGCACATGGAGATCCCAGAACAATTACAAATTGATGCTTGGGGGTCCCTATGATGCACTGACATTTGGGGGTCCCAGATGAATGTCACACTAACACTTGGGGGTCCTAGAACAATGACACACTGACACTTGGGGGTCGCAGAACAATGGCACACTGACACTTGGGGTTGCAGAACAATGGCACACTGACACTTGGGGGTCCAAAACATTGACACACTGACACTTGGGGGTCCTAGAAAAATGGCACACTGACACTTGGGGGTCCTAAAACAATGTCTCATTGACACTAGGGGGCCCCAGACCAATGACACTCTGACACTTGGGGGTCACAATAATTTAACCGGTGTGGAAGCAAGAACCGATGATTTAGCCCATCCAGAGCCTCCACGATTTTCGCTTTTCACAAAAAAAAATGACAGTTCCAGGGACTTAGTTGCAGGTTAAAGCTCCCAAATTCAGGACCACTGAAGATGAAATGACCCCACAAATAAAGATTTCTATACGGATCAAACTAAAATGAGTAAAATAAACAATTCATCTGCAATTTGTGTAATTCATCTCAAGCAAAAGCCAAGAACCTCCATATAGATTCTCCACAACAAAGACACATTGTTTCCCAAGCCTGTCATTTCACATTTATATTTTCACCGGCCACAATAGGTCCAGCAATCAAAAGAAACATCTCACATGTTTCCTCATTGTATACGGAGTCCCATTTACAACGGCCGGAAATTGCTAATTTGCAGTTCTTTTGACACACAATATAGATTTCCACTACATGCCTATTAGCTGCTCCTGGAAGTTTCTCTTCTTTTTATGTTTTTACCATATCGCAAAAAGCCTAAAATGACCCAATAACATTTATGTGACTTGATATATAAAACCTTTTCTGTCTTTTTTCTTATAACATTTTGCATGCAGCCTTATACTGGATGAGGCTCATTGTATGCAGGGAGACTGAAGAAGCAACGTGGCCCAAAATAATATCATTTTTGTTTTGTTTCCCTTTTGACTTTTCTTTTATAATTTGTCTACTTTCTACAACTTGTATTTTTGCACAGACAACAGAATGATATCTTTTGAATGTATAAAAAAAAGCAAGTGCACCGGGGGAACCACATATTTTATATCTTTGTATCTGTATATCTGTATCTGTATAGATAACCCCCCTAATATTGCTTATTTTTCAAACTTTAGTTGCAATCCACATGTTTCAGGAATTGATAAAGTGAAGCTTTGTTGAATTTAACGTTTCAAAATTGCAAACACATGCAAACCAGATACGTAAAGGGTTATACATATACCTGAGTGCCAGACCTTTGCATAGAGATTCTCAAGGGCCCCAATGCCCAGATACAACTAAAATGCAAACTCTGACTCAAGTTTACTAAGACTGGCCCTTCCTAAGCTTTACTATTGATCAACGAGGCCTTCAATCAAAAGTAGGGATCCATAGTAAGAAGTGGAAGGGACAGGGCCAAGCATGAGGTATAGTAAGGTATAGTAGAGCTCTTCAAGCTACAAGGAGCTCTCCAAGGTAATTGAACACACGTGTAGGCAGGTGCCAACTTTTGGCTCTTTGAAGTCAACCTTCAAAGAGCCAAAAGTTGGCACCTGCCTACACGTGCGGTTTCTGCTTTCACTAAGTAAGCAGAAAAACTGCCTCCCTGATGATAATTGGAAAGGATTTTCATCTCAGAACCTCCACCGATCAGATGTTTTGCAGCAGCAGTTGACTTCCCTTGGCTTCCCTTCAAAACACATTGCTTTTCGAATGGGTTTCCAAGGCTGGACAATGCTTGTGCAACATAATGGGAAACAATAGGTGTCTGAACACAGCATGTGATCCAAAAAGAATGACATTGGGAAGCACTGGTAGCCTCAGAGCTGCCCAGCACTGCTGGTAAAGCAACTGACCAGCACATTTTCCATGCAAGACAGCGGGAGGAGCACAGGTAGACATTTCCTTTTTATACATTGCAAGAAAAAAACAACATCAGATAACAAGCTGTTCTCCACCGTACCTTTCTCGCAGTGGGCTCCGGTGAATCCAGGAGGACAGGCACACTTGTTGGGGGCCACGCAGGTTCCGCCGTATCGGCATCCTTCTTTGCAGAAAGCTGGAAATAGAAATTCTCAGTTTAACATCCCTCATAAAATATTATGTATCAGGTAACTTATTGTCATTTTTTATAATTTGTGTCTTGGTGGTATCGACCGAGAGGAAGACATTGGCTCCATGAGATGATGGTCCTCACCAAACTGGAATTTTACATTGCAAGGAAGTCAACATGTTTCAGGCATCTGTACCTTCTTCATCAGGACTGCATGTATGTGTGACATGAGACTGAAGTGGGAGATTAAAGCTGAACTCCAGGCAAGCAGCTAGATACACAGATACAGGATACATATATGGGAGCTGTTTTACTTGTCATGTCATTTTCAAAAGTTATCAGGCTTTCTAGGGGTCATGTCACGGACCTGCTAATCCCCTGCTACAGCGCTTAACTTACATATGCTCCCTGATGAAGGCAACGTAGATCCCTAAAAGACATTGGCTTCTTTGGAGACTTCAATATATACTCTGACTACCATCATTACAATTGTCTTTTGTTGGACGTAGGCAGCGCCCCTCCTGGTAGAACAGAGCGATTGCTGGTTGCTGGTAGAGAATAACTTGAATGACAATTGTCCCGAAGCTTGCAATCCAAGAACAAGCCACCAAGGCGAGGATATCTCCTGTATGTCTATCATGAAAGGTCCCTTTGAAAGTAAAGCATCACCAACACCTCTCTCAGAAACCACCTGCTACTGCACAGGCGCAGGGTGCAGTCTTCTGTACTGCAGGTAAACGGGCACTTGCGTGCATGCGTGTGCCACGGAACAGCCTCACATAAGCGCGCCAAATGGTGCACAGGAAGTGATGCTGCTTCCTGATGGATCGGCCTATTTAAAGCCAGCCTACCTGACTACAAGTTGCTGGATTGTCTTCAGCTTCCCCTGTGTTCCTTGTGATTGTGATTACCTTGCTGACTTTGAGCCAGATTGTCCTTGACCTTGTTGATTGCTGCCAGGCCCCTGACCTCCTGCTTGCTCACTGGACCTGCCTCTGTCTCCTGCCTTTGTACCTTGCTGCCCGACTGGATTGACCCCTGGGTTGTTTGACCTTGATCTTGGATCCTGCTCTGCACTCCGCTGCCTGCCTGGTTTTTGACTACAGCTCAGCCTGACCCGATCCGTGGCCGGAACTCCGGCTTGCACGGTGTGATCACCACTGGCACCTGTGCCACTCGCTGTCCACTCAGACTCTGTTCCCAACTCCAGAGTCTTTGGGACACGAGGTGCAAGGGAAGCCTCCTCCCTACATTCAGTCTCCACCCAGGTACGTGACAACTAGTGATGGGCTCGGGCGTGTTCGCAGCTCCACGTGCCGGGCCCACCAGAAAGCTGACAGCGCCATTCACAGGTACTGAGACATTTCCCGATCTCTGCAGCTGCGGACCGGGAACATGTCGCAGTACCTGTTATTGGCGCTGCGCGCAGTCAGCTTCCTGGCGGGCTCGGCACGTGGAGCTGCGAACACGCCCGAGCCCATTACTAGTGACAACCTCCGTCATTGAGCGCACACACAAAAAGAGTGAATTATAACAATTCCGTCATTTCCTTTGTTACCTTTTCTTTAAAAAAAATCTCCGGCAATAACCGCGCTGTTTTATTAACGAGACTCTTCATCATTTTCCGCCGCGCGCTCCATCACAATTTATCGACAACATCGCACAATAAACTTCCACTATTTTTCTGCCGTCGGCAAGCCGAAGACGCTCCGCTTTAATCTACATTTACCCGCTATGATAAATATTTATCCCCGAGCGGGATTTTATTGGGCGTTAATGTTGACAATGACATACGAATATTGCGCCCGCCTGTAAAAAGGGGGATTATCTATCGCCAGCCTTTCCGCATTACTGTCTCCGTTGTTTCATTGTTTAGCGGAGCGTACCTGACATTTAGTACAGATTATAACTGCAAATAAATAAATTCCATTCATATTTTAAATAATGCAGCAAGGGGATTCAGCAAATAGCGGAAGAGTCTGAAAATGAAGCGCGACGTCCAATGATGAGACATGTGAATGGGTAGGTATCCCTTTGCGCACAATTCCTGATATGGCCGCTTTCAACTAAATTGCACATATAGCCTCCCCTGTGGCGTTTCCCCACAACTTGCCTTGTTAGGGGTAGGGTTGGAAGAGTGGCCACCAGCTTCCAGGACTGTTGTGTCTCATGTCCTCATAGCGGTCCGTCTCGCATTAGCGAGAGCATGGAAACAATCAGAACCCCCCTCCTTAAACACAGTCATACAGATTCTAAACACGCATGCACATTTTGAATTTCTGTTCGCCAAGGCTAACTGTAGACGCCATACTTTCACCTCGCGTTGGGCCTGCTGGTTGACAGACACCAGATGCTTGACACATATCACATGATGATTACCAGACCCGCATTCCCTCATTGGTAGAGACGCTCTCCACAAGCTCTAATTTTTACTTATTAAATAAAAAAAATTAAGACTCAAAAACATTGTTCATCCTCTCTGTATCACTGAGACTTTTAGACACCTCTCCCTGTGTAAGACTTTTTCTTTTTCTTTCTAGTTTCTGGGCATTCCAACCGATTGGTGTTGTAATACTTCCATGCACTGCACATACCAACTCTGTACTTCATCTGCTGTACATGATACCTGTTGTATTGTTGTCCGATTTGTGCCCTGCCTTACGCATCTTGATTGTATACACCTATGAATTTGGGCATTGCCCTTCCTGTACTGTTGTATTGTTTTTGTCTTCGTTGCTATGATAAAAACTCAATAAATTCTTTGTTAAAAAAAAAAATTGCACATATAGCCAAAGTTTAGAAAAATAATAATAATTTGGCTAGTGTAGGGAAGGGTTAGAACCCTGATCAGTTTATTTTTGACTGTCTGTGCCACGTTTTCCTTCACTTCCTGTCCCATGGCAGAGAACAGGAAATGACAGGAAATCTATGCAAAGAAAAGGGGAATTCCCATCTTATACAGGTGCCACCAGAACAGAGGTATCTATTAGAATATTTTCCCAATATTCCTCCTCTGGGAACAACAGTAACATTTTAGATTTTCTATCACTTGAGGAACACAACAACGAGTTGGAGGTGATGACTCAGCCTCCAAATTCTGCGCATCTCAATCCAATCGATCATCTGTGGGATGTGCTGGAAAAACAAGTCCGATCCATGGAGGCCAATCCCCTCACAGCTTACAGGACTTAAAGGATCTGCTACTGACGGCTTGGTGCCAGATACCACAGCACACCTTCAGAGGTCTAGTGGAGTCCATGCCTCCATGGGTCAGGAAAAGGGGGACCTACTCAATATTAGGCAGGTGGTCATAATGTTATGGATGATCAGTGTATATATACATATATATTCCGGTTCTATACCATTGTCTTAAAGTACTTTCCCAGATAGCAAGGATAACTTGCCACAAACTTGTGTCAGGGTTAAACTGTAGACTTGCAGAACACTCGCAGCACAAGTTCTAGGCGACACTTTTTGAATTTGTAGCAAATTTGCTTGGCAAGTCTACAGCAAGAGTCCTGCAGGTCTTAGCATGAGCTCTGCAAGCTCGCTGGTCTGGAGACTTGCAATGCAGACTTGCTGTAATTGTGCAACAACATTGTAAAGCTCAGCAAGTCTAGCAATAGATTAGCGAGTCATTTTCAAACTAGCAGCTCAATTGCTTGTTTTCTGGGTTCTAGTGGTATTGGTTTACTGCTATTTCTATTGGTCTAATCTCCTGCTAAAACCTCACCATACACATTCTTACAGCCCTGATGAAGGGAGCACAGATCCACAAAATGCATTGGCTTCTCTGGAAACTCGCTGCTCCCGATCTGCTGCTTCAGTCTCAACTTTCCTGGTTTGGTCAGTTTGGTCTACACTGTACATACATGTTAAAGCCCAATTTCACCATAATATGCCCCCCCCCCCACCTACAATCCCCCTTCTTCTCTGGAGCACCCCAGTCCCCTCCTCCCACACCCGACACACAGCATTTCGATTTCCCTTCACTTTTGTCTCTGTAAAAACGGTCACCGCGACAGTGAGGTGGGGTGAATTTAGGACAACAATAAACATTCAACTAATTGCTGGTGCAGACTGCGGCGATCGGGTGGGGGTGCACACAGCACTTGCCGCGTGGCCCTATTGATTTCGATGGGGTTACATCTGCGCTGCAATTGCTGAAAAAAGGTATATGTATCTTTTTTTGGCGACACACGGGCGGTATCGCGGCTGCAAACCGCACATTAGAAAAAAATGGCACCACCAACGAGATCTGCTGTGGTGTGCGATTCCATGACCATCCGCACGGTTCTGTGCACGATTGCTGCGCGGTCACGGATCGCCCGGGTGTGAACCTGGCCTCAGGGTCTAACCTTGTCTTTTTTATGCAAAGATACACATTTAAAAAAAACATGTTTGGGTGACACATACACTTGAACAACGCAACATGAAATATTGAACTGTTACAACTTGTAAAAAAAATGTATCCTAAATAAAGTACAAAAAACGTTTTTTGAGAACTCTTAATCTGATTCTGCAGAGCTGTAAATTGAATCAAAGCTTTCATCTAAAGGCAATCTAAATGGAATCTCTAATTGGCTCACGCGTACATCAATTGTGCATCTTTTTTTCTTAAGATCCTCTGGAAGTTTCCATTGCATTTTGAATTCTGTTTTCTTTCAACTTGCGCCTTTTTTAAATTATTTTTTATCTTTGACCAAAATAAATCAAATTAAATTTTTAAAAAATACATTTCAATTCAATTTGATTTACTGCATGCCATGAAATACTAAATTTTATAATCATCGGATTTACCCGCAAATCAAGTCATTTCCAACCTATCCCAAGCTTCCTTTATTGTTTGACCTCAAGGAAACTCATTGAAACATGTCCACAGATGGTCCAACTATTGAATCAATACAATCAGAATATAGAAATAACTCTACTGTCAAATTCATGAATTGAAAGGTGCAAGGACCTGACAATGGTCTGCAAAATATTAGGAGGTTGGGTGGAAAGTG